GATTGTTCAAGTGTTTACCCCGCAAGCTGTTGTTATTTCAAATGAACTACTTGAGAATGTGAAAAAATCGGTGCCATATAGGCCTTTTTATGCTCCTGAAGATCAGCTTCGAAAGTTCCTTTCTTCTGGTCACAAGAACTATCTTGCTGAGCTTAGGGCGACATTTGGTCCTAGCCCAGCGTGCGTGCTTGCAAAGAGCGATGAAGCTTATTTTGAGGCCATGAATATTTTGAAGCAGGCACCACCTTCTGCTGATACGGCCGGTGATCTTTCTTACCCACAAAAACAAAATGAGATTTGCCGCAAATTGGCCCGCCAGCTTTTATACCGAACAAAGGTCAATACAGCTGTTGCATTGACTCAGCTGGACCACCTTAATGAGGCAGTAGAAATTTTGGATAAGGTTATTGCTGCAAATGAATTTGTTTACATGTGGCGTGCATTTCTTGCAAGGGGGGAAGCAAAAAAAAGGTTGGGATTTATTAGTAAATCTGACAAGGATTTTCGTCAGTTATCCGAGCAAAAGAAAACTTTCCGCCGGAAAATGTAATTATTTATGCATAGGATTTCAATTTGAAAAAAGAAAAAAAAAAAAAAAAAGGAAAATAAAGAGGAAAAAGAGGGTGTTAATATTACAACCGGTAATTGCTTGAGTGAGAATGAGAGCGGTGACCTGATTTCTTCTTTAATCCATGAAAAAGGTGTCTTCCTCGTCATTATTTATTAGGCTTTTGGGCAGATGGCCATTTACCTGGGAGGGGAATAAGAAGCGTTATGTGGGCAAAGAATTTGCGTTCCCATTTCTCAAGACAATATGGATAGAAATCAAACTGGTGATGAAAAGAAGGAAAAAAATATATCTGGAAGAGAACCGCCGTTTACAATTTTTCATAACAGGAAGAACTGTTGTTGATTTTTTTTATTGGCTGCGACATCATGCCTGCCTGCCTGTCTGCCCTTTTTTTCCCCTTTCTTGCTTTCCATGCAATTTAATGTTTTGTAGCCCTTTTTAGGAGTTCCATCTAGGCATTTAAGATATCAGGTTCTTGAAAATGTAGGAAGGGTCACTTTGTTTGCGCGTTCTTCTTGATTCGTCGTGTGACACAAGGCAAATAACATTGCTAAGGGAAGGGAAACTTGACCTTGCCCTACCCAACTGTCTTATGTACGGGAACGCTGTTGACTTCTGTGTTTCAGTGCCTCGGTCTTCTGATTGCTTAACGAGCGAAGGCCTTGCTTGGTAGTGTGACCTTGTCTCTTTCCGACGTTATGGTATGGACCTCTCGATGATTTGTTTTTCCGTTTATTATTATTATTATTTGGGTTTGTTTGAACCTATTTTTTTCAGCATATAAACTGAGCTGAGCGTGGGCAAGGTAAATAAATACCAATTGATAAAAAAATAAGAATAGAGGTTACTGATTTCCGGCCTTTATTGCCTTCTTGATGTTTTCTTTCTCATTTGCAACTAATTTGGGGGGTTTAAAGGTAAGTAAACAAAGGCTCATGCTTAAAGGGTTACTTCAAATTATTGGTCTCAAGAAGGAGTGGCCGGTGTTTACTTTAGATGAGGTACGCCAACACAACGACCGCTCCTCAATTTGGATAGTTGCAGGGAACTCTGTATATGATGTCACCTATATTCTAGACACACACCCTGGGGGTCTCAATGCGCTTCTGCGTCGAGGTGGTGGCGTGAAGGACTGCACCGAGGATTTTTACTTCCATAGTCGTGCCGCGCGGAGAGCGTGGAACTCTCTTAAGATTGGTGAGTTGGACCTTGGAGAAGCCATGGGAATAGGAACTCTTGCTGTTTCTTTGACAGGCTCACGGGATGGTAATGCTGCGCCGGAGGCATCGCCCGTGAATCATGCGTGTGCTAGTTGGGAATGCGATGGCGGCAAGAACTGCTGCTGCACTAGTACTGTAGAAACACACGGGAGCACATCTGAGCCAGTTCCAGAGCGTTTATGTAGTGAATGTTTGCACCGTCACTCGGCGTGGCGATAATTTACTCCGAGATCCTTATAAGATTTGGATTCATTGTTCCTTTTTTTTGAAAAAAAAACGAATTTATTAACGAATTTTTTGTGTTTCCCCAGTTTAATATTTTAAGCCCGAGGAAAAAATAGGCGGGATTTCGCCCTGTTTGGTGCTGTATACTCGAACAGGTACTCGGTTTCTTTCAACAGCGGATTTGGGAATGATGTCGTCTCAATTTTTGGGCTTTAGATGGCATCAACCCATCCTTTGCAAGATTATTTTCTTTGAAGCTTACGGAAATAATGTGCGACAAGATGGGTCTATATAGTTCCCAGCGCGTCTTGTTCAACTCTCCTGTTTCTCTGTGCGACAATTGACTGAATTCCAAAGATGTTGCCTTGGAGTGGAAAAAGTGCGGTTTTTTTTTTTTTTGTCGTTCCACCTGCTCCCCATTGCTCTCTACGCGGAGGAGTCCGGCGGTTGCGGCGCCCTTTTAAAGACTGCCACTTGGTGCGTTCACAGCGAGACCGGTTGTCGTAGGGTATGCGTTATGAATTTCTCCTTTTGTTTCTGCATGGGTGTTGAATAAATCTAATCCCCACTGTGGAGGATTTTTGGTGCATTTGGTCAAACTACCATCTCCCATTGCCGTGCATTTTTTCCATATTATTAATGGGGGGCCAGGCCTCATCCAGGCACTTTTTGTAGGAAATGTACTATATATATTTTACATACACACGCACACACTATAATTTTGCGTTTTTGTTTACGCAAACGTCAGAAAGGAACTGTCGTTTTTGACTGTGGGAACAGTAACATTATAAGGTTTTGTTGGCATCTGCGCTTATTATTCTTTCACCATGTTGCTTTATCTCTTCTGTTTAGGCAGTGTTTGAAAAGAAAAGAGTCATGCGTTGGGGTAAATTATGTATATATATATGGATATGTGTATATTCTTCCCTTCCGAAGCAATAATTTTCTCTCTGTATGTATAGCGCCATTTCTTATCTCTTTGAAGGTAATTCCCGGTCTCTTCTTCTCCGCTGGCGGAGATCACGTGCAGCTGCTGGGCAGTAATCAACCCACACTTGTCCTGGGGACCCTCAATGCCACACCACTCACTGGCCTACATGGCGCCAAAATCACGCCTTCAACAACCCGAAAAGACGCACGGCGGGCTCCCGTCCCTCTTCCTCGCAACGCACTGCACCTTGGCAGCACGTGAGGACGGCCGGCCGGCCGCACGAGGGTTGAGAATAATAAGGGTTCTGTAGAAAATGAGGAAAAACACGCTTACTTTCATGGAAATGTACCAGGGTAGGTATTCTAATTGATTGTGTATTGATGTATTTTTTTTGCTTTTGTTTTTTTTCTGTGATGGATTCAGAAAATACAACCGCTTTTCACGATGCAGACACCATTTCCTTTTCTTATCTTGACGGTGATAAGGCTTTCTCTGTGGTTTACACCACGGAGAGTTGAGTTGCGTGGTTGTTGAGTGGCGCCAAAATGAGCGAATTCCAGGCTTGGTACCGCAGTCGCCATTGTATTTCGATGAAGAGCAAAAAAAAGAATTGTTGATGGAGGTATTCCCTTTTTTGACTTTTATTTGTTGGTCTGCGCAGCTTTTTTTTTTTTTTTTTTTTTGAATGATAGGAGCTTGTGAAAAGAATGATCGCGGTAGAGCTGGCTAACTTAATTAATGTATGTTTATGTCCTGATAAATGAATGCATTATTTATGATACTTTCTACCGTATGAATCTTTTGGGAAGAACGCGACTTTGTAGGGGCAGGGAGCCGATAGGGGCCAGATAATTTTTTGTTTTTGCCATCCCACCCACCCCCTTGATTCCCACCACGCGGCGGGGTCTTGTGGTTGGTGGACCCCAAAGTCTGCCACTTCGTAAGTAATAATATTCAAATTCTAACTGAGGACAAGGGACCATGCTAGTGATCCACAGAATTCTATATATTGAATGAAAAGAAAGCATTGAAGCAATTAAATAACGAACCTTTTTTCTTGACTTGTTTGGTTTCCATAGATTGCCAGGATCCGGCCAGCTGCCCGGAAGATTATTCCGTGGCATACTGACATTATTTCTGACTTTTTTGCTCTTTTATTTTATTTATTGCAGCTTTCCTTTCGTTTTTATTCTCTGCGTTCTTTTTTTTTTTTTTTCTGCCTTTTTTATGGATCTGAAGATAAGCTTTGGGTGTTTTTACATACTGAGAATACTACATTTAATATATAATATTTGTTCGAATTTTTATAGTTCCTTTTTTTATGACTGTGTTTTGTGGAACGGCATTTCACGTACCAGAACGACATAAGCTGGAGGTACTTCAAGATGTCTTAATTGTCGTGAGTGACACCGAGGGGATTATTGAACGTATTCTGCGGCCATTGGACTGTGATTACAACAAGGTGAAGGAAGAGGCCAGGGAGGCTGGCAACCTTGTGACTTTGCGTCCACGCCAGTATTTGATTCCCGGACTTATCGACCTGCACGTTCACGCACCGCAGTGGCCTCAAGCTGGAAAGGCGCTTCACCTTCCGCTTGAGGAATGGCTGCAGGAGAATACATTTCCGCTGGAGGCCAAGTACAAGGATGTAAAGTTTGCGGAGAGGGTTTATAATTCTCTTGTCGAGACATTACTGGCAAATGGCACTACCACCGCCGCGTATTACGCCACAATTCATGTGGAGTCAAGTCTGGAACTTGCCAGAATTTGTTTGCAGAAGGGGCAACGGGCAGTGATTGGATGTGTGGCGATGGATATTCCAGGGGCGTGTCCAGATTTTTACCGTGATGGAAGTGCGGTGGATTCCATTGATAAGACTGCCGTTTTTGTTGAGGCTGTCAAGGCATTGAAGGGAAATGAACGCGCTCTGGTACTCCCTTCCGTTTGCCCTCGATTTATTCCTACATGCAGCACAGAGTCTCTTCGTGGACTGGGGGAACTCGTGAAGAAGTATAATTGTCATGTGCAGACACACTGTTCGGAGAGTGATTGGGAGCATAATCACGTCATTGAGCGTTTCAAGAAACATGACGCTTTTGCATTGGACGGGTTTGGTCTCGTGACAAGACATACTGTTTTGGCACATTCAAACTTCTTGTCAACCGAAGACATGGATCTTGTTCTCAGCAGAGGGGCTGCAGTGGCTCACTGTCCGTTGTCAAACTTTTATTTTTCCAATGCCGTGTTTCCTTTGAAAAAAGCACTTGACAAGAACCTTCACGTCGGTCTCGGTACCGACGTGTCGGGTGGAAACAGTCCTTCAATCCTCGATAACTGCCGCTACGCCGTTGCGGCTTCTCGCGCACTAGAGGATGGTGTCGACCCCAACAAGGATGAAAAAGAACGGAGCGGCTGGAAGGGGGCTCGAATAAATTTTATTGAAGCCTTTTGGCTAGCGACAACGCAAGGCGGTGTGTCGCTGGATTTGAATATTGGCAAGTTTGAGCCTGGTTACGCGTTTGACTCCCTGGTGATTGATGTGGATGCACGCAGCAGCAACGTGAAGGTCTTTGACAGTGAGGACTCTTTGGAACACATTTTTCAGAAGATTGTTTATCAATCAACTTCTGCAAACATTACTCAAACTTGGGTTGGGGGGAGACTTGTGCACCAGCTTTGAGACTTCATGCAATTAAATATGGCGTGACTTTCCAGTGAATTTGATTATTTTATTTTATTTTTTTTCTTTTTCTCGGGAGTCGGGGGACTGTGTTAGAGAAGAAAGAGACCGTGCGATAAGAGGGTAGGGGCTTAAAAAGACTTTGAACCGCCGAGATTTTTGTTATCCTTTTTAATTATTATTATTATTATTATTATTAATGTGTGTGGGTGTCAAAAGAACGAAAACACTGACAAAATAAACTTGACGGAACTTACCATTTGTTTGTCCGTCGCTCAAAAATAATAATCCTACACATTTTTTTGGTGCTTTTAAAGGGAATTTAGCGGAATCTTTTGAAAAGAACGTTTGCGAGAATGGTGGCTATCTAAATTCATATATATGCTGATAAGACAAAAATATTTCTGTAAGATTTATTCCTTTTAGGAGCTTTTGGGGAGAATGATCGCGGTAAGTGCTGGCTAACTTAATTAATGTGTGTATATCCTGATAAAACGAATACACTTCTGTACGACACTTTTCTACCGTATGAATTTTTGGGAAGAACGAGAATTTGTAAGGGCATCAGGGAGCAGACAGAGGGAATATAATTTTTATTTTTATTTTGCCACCCACCCACCCCCTTTTGATTCCCACCTCGCGGCGGGGTCTTGTGGTTGGAGGAGCCCAAAGTCTGCCAATTGGTACTATAAATATTGTTGCCAACTAAGTATCACATGCCACGATAATGGCAATCTGCTTATTATATAAAAAGACTTGGAGCAAACAATGAGAGGAAGCCATCGCCTCTCCGTTTACCCCCTTCTCCCCATTTTTTTCGATTTTTTCCGATAAGTTCAGGGTTCGGACCAGCGGCTTAGACGAATATTTTGGATATACACGCGCAATTAGATGGGGGAGCCGAAGCAGACGCTATACATACGTGGTCTACCGGACAAGGTCTCGGAAAAAGAGATGCGCCGGGCGCTTTATTTGTACTGCACTCAGTTTGGCCCTGTGCTTGAGGTATCGTATCGCAAGAGCAGGGACATGTACGGTCAGGCTTTTGTTGTCTTTTCAGACGTTGCCACTGCCACAAGTGCTCGCCGGGAATTGAACGAGCGTCAGTTCTATGGGCGATTGGTACAGGCCTTTTACGCCAAGCGGCAGTCTTTTAGTGCCGATCCCGGGGAGAGACGTCGCAGAGACCTTCGACGTGAGCGTGAGTCGGCCGCGAAACGCCTGCGGGAATTTTAGAGGCTGATTTAGCAGTTTGTATTGTCACGAGTAGTCGCGGCTCAGAATAGACGTAACAAGTTTTATTTATGAATTTTATGCACTTTTTGTTTCTTGTTTACAATTTTGTTCACACCCTGTTTTTTTCATTCTTCTTTCCTTTTTTTTTTTTTTCCTTTTAAGACAAGGAGGCGTGGGTAACAGTAAGAGAAATCATGGGAGACGGAGATCGTGATGGTGAAAACTTCATCGATTCCTTTTTGGATGATTTCTGTTGTCTTGTGTCACGGTTTTTGAAAATCTCATGCCGCACACGTGTTGGCTTAGTTCCCGCACCTCCCCCCGCATCGCCATCATCGTCTTCCCCTTCGTTTATCAAGCCAGTGACCGATGCGACTCATGTGGAAGAGCAGCTGGACGCGGCGGACTCAATGCTCCGCCTGATGAGTGAGGCGAAACCACGAGTCAAGACTAGTGAGAAAAAGGCAGATTTTCCCACAGAGAGCGCCGTATTTCTCTTACGACTACGCTCACTTTTAGAGAGGCAATTGAATCAAGATCAGCAGTCAGATGTACTTCCTTCTACGTCGAAGACGAGATGTAGTACAAGGGGTGAAAGCCCATCAGGAGGCGAATCGAAATTCTCTCACACCTGTTTAGATGCACCTTGCAGACGTGTTCGCAAACATTTGCACCGATTCCCCAATGCCGTGGTTGGGGATATCAGGGGCACGAGCGCGTTAAATCGGAGGATAGCCACTGAAGATGCTGAGTGCCAGACAGAGTTTTCGGACATGTTCTCAATGGGGCATGAACCTAGCTCATTGGGTCAAGGTGTAGCAGTTCATCTTAGAAGGAGAGTGTCTTCGCTAAGCGATGCTCATGGTCGCTTGGCTTTGATCCTGCAGCAGCATACCATTAGCAGCATCCTCGCGCTGGGTCACGTCCTGGCGGAGGCGAATAAGAATCCTACAAAGATGCAGGAATGCGACCTTCGCATTCAGACGCGATATGTCGAGGGGATTCAGGGGGTGCTTGAAAAGGAACAGGTTAGGCTTAACAAAGAGTGTTCAAACTGGAATGGGATAAAAGAACATGAACAGCTTCATTTTAGTGAGATTGTGCAGGTCCTAGAACGTCTTGAAATGGCTGTGGCTTCTGTAGACTGCCGGGCATTCGTCGTTGAGGAGGTAGACGAGGGAATTAAGGGGTGCGATGTGCATGATAAGCCAGTTTCTATTGAAGGGAGCAGTGTTACTGATCTTGTGGGCCTTTTTGGAAAAAGTTGCGCGGGCTTTGTCTCTAAACTGGTTGTTTATTGTCTGCAATGCTTTTCATCTGCTCTGACCAGTGCAAGTGGCTCCCCGCTGCGATGGAGCTATCTTGAGAAGGTGTTATTCCTAACAGATTCCGAGAGCCCAGTTCCGACTGTGCCGATGGAGATGAGTAGAACACCATCACGTGGCTCAGGTGACATGGATGTGGATAAAACACCCACACAAGAACGCTCTGAGAGTGTGAGGGCATGCGACGTGGATGAGTTGCCAAAAAGAAGGAACACGGATACCCCTTGGCAGGAGGGTGAGAACCAACTTCTGCGGCTTATGCAAAAGTTTCGTCCGTGCCATGAGTACGAGGAAGTTCGACAACTTGAAATTCTCGTTTGATGTGAAGAGGGTAATGGCAGATGAAAGATCCAATGTGTGTTGCGGTCCGCAAGCACCGCACCGTTGATGGCGTTGTGCACCCAATAGGGTTTAAAACGAGAGATGAACTTTTTTTGTGAAGTAAAAAAACAGAAAATAAAAAAATAAGATAAAACACACACACACACAAACACGCACACAAAAGAGAACGGTGATTTCAACGGGCGTGGTTTTTCGTGTCTGATCCAATTGGTAGTTTAGAGTTTAGATTTTTGCCGCACCCTCTTCTTTTTTTTTTTTGCGTGGATTTTCACTGCGGTCTTGTGAATTTTCACCATCTGCATCACCTAGATTTTACTGTGACATTTCTGCTTGAGCTCCCCTCTTTGTTTTCTGTGCCCCATTACTGATGGTGGCTGTCGACTCGTTGGACTGCCTTGAATTGGACTTTTTTTCTGGAGATGGCCTCGAGGATGCCCCCTGTCAACAGACCGAATTGCTGCTCCTGATTTCCTTTTTTTTTTTTTTTTTGTTATTTTTACTTCTTCTCCGCTTGTTTCTCTTTATTTGCCTCCCCTGCGTTTTCTTCCTCTTTGACGCTCAATCGAATCGTTTCTCTGCCATGAGGGCTGGAGCCAAGAAAGTGAAACAGGAGACGATAATAAGGCAACAAGAACACCGAAAAGAATATCCCACGCAGACGTAAACCCCGCTCAAGAACAGCCATGTCCACTGAACTAAAGTCAGGTCCTCTTCCGGCAGACGTCGAAGAGGTCATCGCGAATATCATGCGCGAAGAGGGTGTGAACTTTCTCACAAGTAAAATTTTGCGTCTGCGCCTGGAGGCGAGGTACCGCATGGAGTTCACCTCGCACAAGGCTGCCATAGAGGGCATCATTACGAAGCTCATGCAGCTTCCTGAGTTTAAGAAACAGCTGGAGAATGCTGTCAAGGAGGAGAAGGCGGCAAGCAGTATCGGTGGTAAGAAGAAGAAGCGCAGCGCCAGTGCTGCGGCTGACGAGAGGAATGCGAAGGTGAACAAAAAGGAGAAGAAGCCAGATGATTACCCGAAGGCGGCGCTCTCGCCGTACATTCTCTTTGGGAATGACCACCGTGATAAAGTTAAGGAACAGAACCCGGAAATGAAAAATACGGAGATCTTGCAAAGTTTGGGCAAAATGTGGGCCGAAGCCTCGGATGCAGTCAAAGAAAAGTACAAGAAACTCGCAGAAGATGACAAGAAAAGATTCGATCGTGAACTCAGCGAATATAAAAAGAGTGGTGGGACTGAATACAAGCGCGGTGGCGGAAAGGTAAAGGCCAAGGATGAAAATGCTCCAAAGAGGTCCATGTCTGCCTACTTCTTCTTTGTGAGCGATTTCCGGAAGAAGCATCCCGACCTCAGCGTCACGGAGACCTCCAAGGCAGCCGGCGCTGCGTGGAAAGAGCTCTCTGATGAGATGAAAAAGCCATACGAGGCCATGGCACAGAAGGACAAGGAGCGGTATCAGAGAGAGATGGCTGCAAGGGCGAGCTAGGGTCAAGGCAATGTGCAGCCGCAGTGAGGCACGAGTGGAGTATTTGCTGGGGGGGATGTAAACGAAACAGAAAGAACAACAACAAAAAAAGAAAAATAGAGACGGAACCGAGTACATGATATGCAGAAAAAATGTTGGTGGACGGGGAGGGGGGCAAGGAGCTTTTGTTCTTTTTCTCCATCCTTCCCTGTTCTTTTTCTTTCTTCCTAACTGTGCTCTTCCGGATAATTGCCCTGCAATTTATCGTGGTGCTTTATAGAGATCCCCGCATTTGGTTTCGGTGGCCCAGAGTTTGGCAAGACGTTGAGCATAAGACAGAATTCAACAAATGTTACGACCGACGGGAAGAAGGCCGCGACGAAGCCTAAGAAACGATGGAGGGAGGCAACGAGAGCAGAAAGAGAGAAAAACAGAATTAATAAGAACAAGAAGAAAAGCTGAGAGCAAAAACAATTGAGAAACGGCCGAAGACGGTTGGTGTCATTCTTCCCAAAAGAAACAAAGGAAAGGGAAAATAAATAAATATAGGTTGGCATTACCATATATATATATATATATATGTTTTTTTTTTTTTTCTTTTTTAGTTTTCTTCTCCGTCATGGACGACCAAGAGGTCTTACTTTTTGTGAAATGGCTTTGAATTTTTTTTTTTTTTTTGCGGCATTCATTCCTCTTTCTCTTTTTTTATTGTTTATTTTTCTTAATAAAAGTGGTCGAGGCGCCGCTGTTGTAGTTGTCACCTGAGAAAAGGAATAGATGCCAAGCTGTGAGCACATTCCGCCAGATCGGTTCCACGGCGTGGAGTCGCGACGCCACACAGATGCTTGTGTGCGACAACTTTCACGTAGCAAGGAGTTCCAACGCTACATAACCCATAGGGAATACAGCGAGTCTTTGCAACTAACGTGGTTTATGGCTCTGATTGGCTTGTCAATTGCCCTCTATTACCATCTCTTGTTTGTCTATCGAGATATGTATTTGGCGCCATTTGGGAATTTTGAGGCCAATACCATTCCCTCTTTGTTTTCAACGGCACTGCTGCTTTTTTACATTGCCCCATGCGTTCTCATTGCGCCTTTTAGTGGCTTTTTTGAAACTCTCCCGAGTCGAGGGGCTTTGCGTTTGGCGGTGGTCTTTACGTTTATCAACATGGCTGTTGTTTCATTTGGCGGTAAGTGGTTACATCACCCACCGTTTCTCATCACTGAGCCTCCCATACCGTGGATTACTGGCAAAACTTCTGAGGCAAGGCAACTAGTTACAGTCACGTTAACACGCACATTGCCCCTGCAAGGCGGCGTTGTGGCGGGATGGTTGGTGTATAAATGGAGAAGAATGCGGTGGAAGAAAGCATGGCATGTGCCATTGCCGCTTATTACCGTTCCTATTCTTGTTGGCGTCTTTAGTTGTCTTTGGTTTTTTCTTGCTACTTGTTTTGTTACATCATTAACAACAACCTCTTTTTTTTTTCCTGTTGGGGGAGATACAAGGGCAGTGGGTGGCGATGTGGTGAGCAACATTCTCTCGATGGTTTTGGCGATTAAGCAAGAATTTCTTATCGTCTTGAATTGGCTCTCACTTCCTGTGTCATTACCAGATGCTAGGATTCTATATCACCTATGGTGTGCCACCTTGGAACTCTGTGTATTGTACTTTTTGGGCGTGTTCTTGTCTTCGTTTTCTTTTGTTTTCAGGGGGATATTTTGGCTGCTACCCACGCACCCAACTACATGGCTGTTGTCGCTTATTTCTTGTCTTGTGGGATTGAATGCTTTGATGCGGAGCGACAGCGGTAATATTCTGCATGTTTTGGGTCTCCTCACGCTTGCATGCATGCTGGTACGCAATGGCTTTTTGATTACTCCCTGATTGGACAAGAATAACTGCCGAGAAGACACACTCACAAAACAACAACAACAACAAAAAAAAAAAAGAGGAAAATAAGGTGGTGAGGGGAGAAAGTGTGAGGCATATTGGGATAACGGTGGGGGGTGCCTCGGATGGGAGGTAAAAGAATGAAAAGTGAGGACGGTCGAATTATAGTATTGCTGCCTGCGGTAGAGGAGCATGAAAAGAAGAAAAGGTGCCTTTTATCTTTTTTCTTTTTCCGGATTTCTGTAAACTGGCTTTCTCTTCTCTCTCTACCCATAGTGAAGGATCCCTGAAGAATGAAAATGCAACAAGCCACGAAGGGGGAGGATGCATTTTTGGTTGATAGCCATGAAGCCGCGTCGTTGACGTTCTCGTGTGAAGCGGCATGCGCGTGCGGTGTCGACGGCGCCCCTTCCGAGCAACATGCAAAGGAAGTCAACTTAGGCAATGCTAAGGTCTCCACTGTTGTAGAACAAGCGGACGGGACGCGACAACTTCCAGTCGATGACGCCTTACTGTGTGACACCGGCAACACGAAGGTCATTTTGACGGGATCGCAGAAGGAGGAGGAGGAGGAAGCGGTGGGAGAAGAGGAGAGTGAAAAAGATGAGGAGGGTTTTGAAGAGGAGGAAGAATATGAGGAAGAATCCGACGATGAGGAGGAATATGAGGAGGACGAAGAGAATAAAGAGAGGTCGGAAGAAATGGCGGAAGGTGAAGCCGAGGAGAACGAATACATTTTTGAGCCACCTGGTGATGGGGGCAATGACCCCAAAATTAAGAAGGATGTATTCGTCATTCATGGCAAAAAGTACGCTGCATCCGCCTTTATAAAAAATGCGGGTTTCATGAAGGTGCAGAAGAAACTTCGTAGGAATCCTAAGACTCCGCTCATAATATGCTCGCGTACTAAGGTGCACAACGTCATGGAGTGCCAGTTTCTGCATTTGACCAACCGTGCTGTGTTGGTAGGGGACCGCTATGTGAGGATCAACATGTTGCTGGATAACCCGGCGAGAGTTGCCCTACTTAAAAATCCCTTGTTGGCGGCGAAGGCGACGTTTTGTACTGTTGCCAATGGTGGACATGATGCTTCCATGTGCTCTGCATTGCACCTTTTACCAGGCATTGTTTTTGTGGGTGGTCCGCAGCTGGGTGTCGCCTATTTTGCGACCGAGCTTCACGATAACCTTGCGCTGCGGCGACTGAGGGACGATGCCAACTCTTGCGGTCGTTGGTGTAGGAATCAGCTTTCTCATGTTGTTCTGACATGTGCTTTTGTGCACTACAACCGGGGAAAGGTGTACACGGAGGTTCCGCGAGAGCCATCGCGGCCCCTTGCAGTGATACCAAGCCTACGCCCACGCGCACCAAGACCGACAGGAGGGAGAGAGGGCCGCGGTGGCCCGTCACGGGGTAGAGGCAGTGGTGGAAGAGGACGCGGTAGGGGCGGAAGAGGACGTGGCAGTGGTGGAATAGGGCGCAGAATGAATCGTGGCCGAGGTGGGCATAGCGGTGTTGAGAGTGCCCCGCGTCCCCATGTGGCGACGGCGGCACCTGCTATTTCTGACATGATGGATTCTGGCAACAGTACGTTGCCAGTTGATAGTGTGGCTCCCATGCTCGAGGAGAGGGCGCAGGCACAGAAGGAGCGACTACTAAATCTTTTGCTAGTCGTATTGGTGGTTTTTGTTGCCATGCTCGCCTATTTGCTTAATTTTAATTAATAAGGAACCCCTGATCCGAGACGTGCAATGCGGCGTAGCTACGTGTTTCTTATTTTTCTGTTAAGGTATTGATGACAGCAAGGGTTCCGTTTTGCCAATCGAGAAGCAAAGGGAAGGAACAGAGAAAAAAGAGGGAGAGGGGAAAAAAAGGCAAACAAAAATGCTCCTGTCATTCGTCATTTCTGCATTATTGCCAAGTGCCGTGTAATGAACGACTGTGGTGCGTTGGGAGTGTTGACGAGGCGGCCATGCTTTTTCCAGCTATAAATGCGTTTCTCCCTCTCTCTCTCTCTCTGTTTGTGTGTGTGTGTGTGTGGAGTCATGTTGCAGTTATTGAGAAGTTCAGCAATATTTTCTCGATGACGCCCCGTCACCACCAGAGGAGGGCTCCTTCTCTTTTCTTTCTTCCTTTTTGAAGTTGTCTTTGTGTGTTTGAAAAAAGACTGGCGTAGCGCTTCCAACGCGCCCGATGGTGTGCGGCGCCCCAAAATGAGAGGCACGGGCGGGGATGCGACAGAAGAAGTTCCACGGCATCAGCGTTTTCTCTTGATTTTTTTTTCTTTTTTTTTTTTTTTTGTTACGTGTGGTTGCCTATTATTTTTTTTCTTTTTACTTCATTGGGCTCAACGGTTCTTCTCTCGCCATTTTTTATGGGTTTGAAGCAAACCGGTGTGTACGAACCGCCCGCGGTTTTCGGAGAGGCAGGAAGGGGGAGCGATCGAAGAAAGAGGCACGAAGAAAAAGGGCAGCCCTTGAATTCCAGTTCCCATGTTTGCCAAGGTTTCTCAAGATCCGGGCGGACGCCTTGGCATCATTTATTTTGCCTCAGTCGCTTTGAGCTCAGCCTTTGTGGCGTGGATCGCTCAAAAATGGTGGAAGAGACAGCATGGGACGACGGGAGACGACGGGATATTTGACGACGTTGGGGAGTCCCCGCTCTTTGACCCCAACTTTGTCTTCCCAGCGAAGCTGGCAGTGAAGAGGGCTTCCGACGCCGGCAGGGACTTGGAGTGCGCCGGCCCACTTTCCATGGCCGAGCGTGAGGGGGCATTGCGGATGGCGCGGAGACTCATGCGTCAGCTGGGTGGTGGGGCGTACAATGAGGAGGGGGAAAACAACAACAAGAACGAAGAAGAGGAGGCGGAGAGCTCCAGCTCGGGGGATGAGACGAACGTGTCTCTCAACTATCACATTGCCACTGAGCTGGAGAAAGAAGCGCGTGACAGTCTGGTGGAGGCGGTGATTCACAGCGAGCTGCTGAAGATGGAGGCACAGGGAAAGCGCATTGACCCCAGTGAGTGTGCGAATATCTTGGCAAAGTTGGTGGAATATTTTGATATTTCGAATGAGCGAGAGAAGTTGCGTGAGCGTCGAATCGCCATGCGACCAAATGAAACTACCAATAACGGATTTCCATGGGCGAACAGCGATGGCTATAACGATCGCATCGCTCAGCAGATGGCGAAAATCAATGAGGCATATGCCGGTTTCTTCTCTCGCGAGACAGAAATGGATCAGCGTCTTCGTGCATTCAACAAGGACGGAGCGGAGGAGCGTTTTGAGATGGACTGGGATGGGGCTGATGATGACGACGAAGAGGCCGACTTAATGAATTACCTCGACCAGGACGATGCGGCCGGGTACGGCAGCCGAATGGAATTGCGTATGAGGGCTATGGGAAAAGACAACTTACGCATGATGGATGTGGACGGTGAAATGAACTATCGCGACGACGACGACGATGATGATGATGATGATGATGGAGAGTTTGAGGAGGAAGAGGAGTCCGACGACATTTATGAAAAAACCGGTTTTGAGCGGATGCTGCTTGACAAACTTCATCAGTTGGCAGCGAGCCTTGGGGAAAAGACGACGTCGTCATTGGGAACGGGAGCCGCAGAGCTTCCTCGTATTAATGGAACGGTGGCTGCTTGCGATGCAGAGCGAGAAAAGGAGGAGGAGGAGGGAAGCAGTCAAAATGAATGGGAGACGGAGAGCGACGATGACGATGATGAGGACGAAGAAACGAAGGAAAAGTAGCGTACGTTGTCGTTGCAACAGCAGACGATCGGGACGCAATGGGGTGGGAAGAGGGGTGCACCGCGGAGAGGAAACGAACACTGAGCTACCGGAACGAATAAAAGGAAGCCGAAGGTCTTTCGATGAGGCAGACGGCATGTAATAACACACAAACACACACACAAAAAAAAAGCAGAAGCTTCTTATGACCACACTAACATGAGAGTCTTCCCTGGGTTGTATCGCGTATCGGCAGATTGTTTTTCTCTGTCTCCTGTCCTTTTACTGCTGGTTTCATTGCTCCTATTTGCTCTTGCCTTGCTATTTGTTTCTATGCAGCGATGTCGGGAGCGGGAGATTCTGGTGGTGGTGGTTGGGGCAAAGTGGTGACACACCTTGATGCGGCGGCGTCGTGCTATCTGTCTTCTCCCGGCGTCACACCTCTAGAGGTGTACCTGACGAAGGTTGAAGATGCCGCTATTTCTTTGGCGCAAGAATTTGGGGCTCTGGTTTCGTCCTATGAGGAGCATGCGTCTCGGGCTGGGCGGGCAACGCTGGAGTGCAGCACCGCTCTTCTTCAAGGCACTGTCTTCCTTGAAGAACAGTTGCGTGAGGCGATGGCTTTGGCCAACGGTGTAGTGGAGGGGATGACAGGCATTGCAGCTGCTGTAAAGGGCATGGAGGATCTCTTGAGCGAAGCACGAAAAGTTGCTCAAGATGTATCACTGGTCGAGGACGCGATAAAGGCGGCGGAAGCTGCGAAGGGCAGGGATGCTAATAGTTGATGGATGCGATGCAATGGAATTAAGGTGCGATGCGTATATACACAAGACATGTTTTTAACTCTACGTCGGTTTTTTATGAATCTCTCCTTATTTTTTTCCTTTCTTTTTTCTTCTGCAGCATATATTTTTACTCACGAAAGGTTTTTTTTTTTTTTTTTTTTGGGGGGGGGGGGGTTAACAGCGTCAGGAGTATGCTGAAGTCATTTCAGGACACGTATATTGAATACTTGAAGAGCACTCTGCACGAAATAGACGTGGATGTGAGCATCGTTGGGGAAACACTGGCCTCACTCGGGCTTGATGAGAGGAGCATCAGTGACATATTGGGTGGCAGCCTTCATGCGTGTGCGACTGGTGCCTCGTCCGTTTCTTCCGTTTCCTCTGACCGGGACCGGGACCAAAGGTCGAGGGAGGGACCGGAGGAGTGTTCCACAATTTCTTCCACAAGCAAGAAGTCGTTTCTCATGTCGCAGCGGGAGGGCATGTTGCGAGTGGATATCGGCAAATTTGATCGAGAACAGATGGGGGGTGCCGCTCTTCCCGCATCATCATCGTCATCGTTGAGTGTAATCGAAAGCCCGCGGGCAGGTCGAGGGCAATTTTTGCATCATGGACACGACGCGAGTTGTAACGTGGAGGAAGAGGAGGAGGCGCTGAATTCACCCGCAACGGCTTGGGACGATCCTATCGTAACGCCTGACCGCCGTGACTCCTACAAGGAACACTTAGAGGCCCTGGAAAAACTTCTCGGTGTTGTTTGGCGTCCTGTTGCTGGCGGAGGAGACGACAGTGTGCCTTTGGAGGTCCGTAGCTTCCTCTGCCGTGAGCGTGTACAAAATTTGCTCCTCAGCCAATTCAAGGCAAGAGGGATTGCCCTGCCAGCGTCACTGCCAAAGCGAAATACTCCGCATCAGAGGTTTAAAGTGAGACATGAAGAGAAAAAACAACCTGAGGGCAGTAGGAACAACTCCAGCAGGAGGCGCGATAAACACTCGCAGTGCATTCGTCACTTTGGGCGTCTTCTGGAGAGTAAGAAAAGCCCCCAAGTTGACTTTCGATGGCAGTGTGAATTCTGTGCTAGACTGGATGACAAACCCATCTTGCTTTCTGTGTCGGACCATCCGCGGCAGCCACAACTGACACCCGCTGCCATGGGGAACACGTGTGGTGTGAAGATGAGGCCCCGAGTTGTGAACACAGTGGGCTGTGGGCGGATCTGCACAAAGTTGCTCGCGACGACACTTTTGTATCGCGAGGATCGTGTCAAAAAAGCGCTGGCCTACCGCGATGGGTGGAACGCTTCTGGCTGTGCTGAAAGATAATATGATGTGTCACGGTGGAGAGTTCAACATGCATCACCCACAGTGGGAGCCATTCTTGGAGTCTTCTCCAAGCGAGGTTGCTGCAGAATTTTTAGAACTGTGCACGGATGCGGGACTCACCTTGGTTAACACCCCTGGTGAGATCACGTATGCCCGTGGCACAAGAGAAAAGATCCTGTATCGATCTGACATGGTCAAAGCATTTGACTGTGTCAGATTGGTCAGCTTCTGTGTCGCCACTTAGTGATCATTATATGCTAACATTTACGCCGCATCAGGCATTTAAGGATACCATACCTTCGGCACCTAGGGCATTCTACAGTTGGGGGAAGCGCAAATGGGATTTATTCGTCAAGGACCTCGACGCACAACCTCCGGCATACGACTATAAAAAGCAGTCCACCGGCATTAAAGCTTTCACGAGAGCGCTTATTACTTCGTATCGACAACATTGCCCCCGCGGCATGCACAAGGATGGTCCCAGGCTTTGGGACGACACTCTCATGGAGGCAGAGCGGATTGCTACCGACAGCAAGGCCCGCTATCTACAGTTACCGACGCCCGACCGTGAGGCAGAAATGCAACGGACAAGGAGTCAATTCTTCCTCCTACTCCGAGAGCGCTTGCGTAACACGTATCTACGTCGCATCAGCAAATTAAATCCAGGCGAACCACTTGCATGGAAATACATTTCCGGACGAAAAAAGGCATCACTTCCACCTCCTACATCATTGTTGTTGGGAGATGGTCAACACACTTACAAAACAGCAAGGAGAGCAGCGAATGCTCTCAATCGCATCTTTTTTCCACTTCACCCCTCTCACAAGGCAGTAAGGTTTTCCAAAGGCATCAAAAGACAGAACCCATCTTTGGGCATTGTTTCTTCTTCTCTTTTTGGGCAGTAGAACAACAACGAGTCTGCTGCCTCATTTACTTCATTTTCTTCTACTTCTTCTAGCTCTGAGCCGCAGAACAACAGCGAGTCTGCCGCTACATCTAATTCAGTTTTTTCATTCTCATCTAATTCAGAGCCACAGGATAACAACGAAGCTGCCACCACATCTGGTTTAGTTGCTCATCTTCACTCCCCTCTTGATGCACCTTTTAATCGTACGGAACTGCTTGCTGCGCTACGTAATACGCCGTATGGCAAGGCCCCCGGACCGGATGAAGTCTACAGTGAGGCACTGCGACATATTTCGTCAAAGGGTCTTCGATTCCTTCTTCGTTGCATTAACCACAGCTGGACGACCGGTACGATCCCGGCTGAGTGGAGACGCGCTACCATCGTCCCACTCTTAAAACCCGGTAAGTCGCCGGAACTGCTTGAGTCATATCGACCCATCAGCCTCACTTCCATTGTGAGTAAGGTTGCTGAGAAAATGGTGCTGAAGAGATTGCTTTGGGTGTGGACGCCACACCCCCACCAGTATGCATATCGTAGTATGCGCACCACGACGATGCGGCTGGCACATCTGATACACGAAGTGGAGCATAATAGAAATCATTATTTTCAAGTGAACCTTCCCAAGAAGAGCGGTATTGGCAATCAAGTCCACTACAGACCCCATCGGACCCTGCTGGTGTTGGTTGATTTCAGCAAGGCCTTTGACTCCATAGATCATTGAGTCCTCAGTCGCTTGCTGGCTAATATTCCGGGGGTGAATTGTAGAAGGTGGCTTAGAAACTTTCTATGTGGTCGCTACGCGAAGACAAGAGTTGGTAACAGAAACAGTGATCGGCGTCCCATGCTGCGAGGAGTTCCTCAGGGGTCCGTGCTGGGACCATATTTGTTCTCCCTTTACGCACACCCACTTCTCAATCTGCTGAACAGCTTTGCGGGTGTCACAGCAGACATGTATGCGGACGACCTCTCTATTATCGTTAAGGGGCAGTCCCGGGAAGACGCCATTCCCACTGCCAACACGGTTCTTAAAAAACTGCATGCGTGGAGTCAGGAAAATGGCCTGGCCATCAACCCGTCAAAGTGTGAAGCCGCTTGGTTCACGCTCTCCACGCACACGGAATCCGATTATAATCGTGAAGGAAAGTGGCCCCTGGAAGTGGCTGGATGTCAAACCCCAGTCATTACCATGGGGGCATCGCGAACTACGAAGCTTCTTGGCATGGATCTCGATCCACGACTGACGCTAAATGTGGCGGCCACCAAGCAATGCGCTGCCACTTCGCAACGGATATCGCAGCTACGCTGCATAGCGCATAAAGAGGCGGGACCATCCCCACACGACCCACGCACGTTCATCATTGGATACGGTGCTTCCAAATTACGCTATGGCAGTGAGCTCATATGGGCAGTAGCGGCGGATTCGGCGAAGAATGAAATGCAAGAGACGTATGCAACCCTGGCACGCATTGTCAGCGGAGTTCCGAGCACTGTCGACCCGGAATCCGCACTCCTAGAGACGAATATGCCGCCGCTCCACGTCCTCTGCCTGCGCGCGCGGCTCTCCATATTTGAGAACACACGCACTGGTCAGATGGACTGGATGCGGAGACGTCTTTCCTGAGCCACCGCCTCGCGCAGGTTTCCGCATCTCGCCGTTATCTCGGGACGAGCCATATGCCTTTGTAGACGCATACACAAAGGACTATGGCATCACTCAGAGCTCACCACGCGAAGAGCGGTTTTTTTGCAGCTCCATTCCTCCCTGGTTTGCGGCCTCCGCTCGCTAGGTCACCATTGGCGTGGAACTTTCGAAACACTACTCAATAACCGACGAAACAGAGCTTGCAACGGAGAAGCGCCGAGTCAGCGAAGAGGCTCCAGCGACGCACAGCCATTGTTTGTGGTTACTCGCAACAGATGGCGGCGTTGGCATTCCCACGTCAGTCGGGGTTGGTATGCTGCTCTCATCCCTTCATTCATCGCGGATAATAGCGAAATTAGGTTTCAACCGCGGCAAACGCCCATGTAGCCGCAGGACGGAATCCCGTGCGCCGCTCCTGGCCCTGGAAAGGCTGATTATCCCCCGTATCTAGCACACACAAGACCCTGCTTGTGGTGACACACAGCCAGGCCATTCTGGCTGCTCTAAACAAGGGCCCGCTCAGTCGGACCGGCTGGACGGAGGATCAGATCTGGCAGCGTCTCTTGACACTAACAAGTGCCGGCTGGTCCGTGCACCTGCAGTCTTGTTGCGGGCATTGTGGAGC